CAGGGCCCGGCGCGCATGCTCCGCTCCCGGAGGGGGAGGGTCGTGCCAGGGGTGTCGCGCGAAGCCCGCCGGGAAGCGGCCCATTCTGCGAGCCTGTCTCAGGTCAGTTCGCGCGGCGGGCTCTCCGGCGGTGGCGGTGGCGGCAGGGCCTCTCTGGGGCGCTGGTGGCCTGGGCGGCGTCTGGCGGGGTGGGGGTGCGCTGACCGTGGGCCCGGGCGGTGACTCACGCGGCCCTTCCTTTCCGCCCGCGCCCCTTGGGCAGGGCGGCTCCTCTGCCATCTGCCCTGCGACGCCCCGTTTGCATCTTCTCGAGGGCGCGGTACGGGAAAGCTTTGGCAGGGAGGACCCCAGGCGGGTAATTTGTCCACAGTTGGGTTTTTGAGTCTTGCGGGAACAGGGCATTGTGACCATTTCCACTGATTTGGCCCTGCTCAGTCATTGAGATGGCATGGCTATGTTAAGCATTGTTGAAGTCTTTGCATTTTGCTGACCACGCTTCCACTCAGTACGGAAGCTAGAGAACTATGATAATGCTTCTAGATTGCTTTCTCAGTGGGATGTACTACATAAACGACCCAGTGTAGGATGTGTAAACTTAAAGCCCCTTGAGGGGGCAGTTATATACTTTCTTTTGTACTCTTTACAAACGATAAACCATGCCTGTGCGTAAGTTGTTGTGTGTTGGCGAGTCGTAACTGACTCCATAGCTGATGCTCCGACAGATTTTCACAGACAGAAAATAAATCACTTAGGTAGTGCTTTTACCATCAAGTCGGAACGGACTCCAGTGGGTTTTCAGAGGCGGTTTAATCACGTGGGAGTGACGGGGAACTTTCTAGTTCTTACTCAAAGAGGCCTCTGGACCTCTTTTGGAAATCATCCACTTGACAGGAGGAGACTCCATCCTCTTCCCTTGGAGCAGCCTGTGGATTTGAACCACGGGCCTTTGGGATTGCAGCGCAGCTCCTCCATGGAGCAGCACAGCTTCTCACCCCTAGGCCACCAGAGTGCCCTAGCCAAACACCTGAGTCACTGAGGCAAGCCCACTTTCAAATGCCAAGGGACTGAGCTGGCCTGATGTATTTATAATGGTATCTTTTGACATACCAGGGGCTTTGTTTATTTTGTTAAAGAAGAGGCTATAAAATCCCGCAGATTTAACCCTGTTGAGACTGCAGTCAATCTCAAATCGGGATTACCATACATCATATTTTGGAGGCTATAAATATATAATGGGAGCTCTTTTGGTGGTGTCCAGAGGGAGAGTCTTCTGGTGCTTCTAATCCACCAGCTGTGCTGCTGAAGGGAGAAGCCTTTCCAGATTCTTCCCCTGCACACCCGCTGGAGGTTCAGCTATGATACAGTTTGAACTCAGCGTAGTAAGAGAAGTCTTCTGTGGGAGGAGACTGCCCATCCTTCTGCCAGTGCATAAGCACTAGGTCACAAGAACTAAATTGAAGAGAATTTTATATTATTCTCACAATATTCTTTAAAATGTAGCCTGACAACCTGGGTTACATTCAGTTACAATTAGCTTCATCTAATTGTATACCTAAGAAATGTTCTGATGGTATAATCCTTAGCAGGGACTGTACTTGCTAAGCAAAAGATGGTCTGCATCTGAAGATTTATTGTTAGATGTTGTCAAGTCATGTACATACGACTCACAGTGCCTCATCCTGCACCATCCTTGAGATTTCCCCTGAACTCAATCCCATTGTTACAGTCACTGTGTCCCCTCCACTTTTCTCAGCATATTGTCTTTTAATGTCCTTTTCCAAGGGCTGGCTCCTTGTAACATGCCCAAGGTATCTGAAATAATGCTTCACTATCCTTACTTCTAAGGTGCATCCTAGTTATACTTCCTCTAAAACAGATTTGTTCTTTTGGCAGTTCATGTCATTGTTGTTACAGGCCTTCAAATGGAAATAGATTCAGTTGACCCTTCAGCAGGTTTTCAGGGAGCTCTGGTGGCTTAGTGGTAAGGAACTGTGCTGCCAACCTAAAGGTAAGCAGTTCGAATCCCCCAGTTGCTTTGTGGGAGAAAAGTAGACAGTCTCCCCCTGTGTGATTTCCTGCCTCTGAAAACTGGCCAGCTAGGGGGTCAGTTATGGGCCACTCCTGACTTAATGGTACACAGCAACAACAAATCACCCAGGAGGATCTTTCTCCAACAGAGCAGTTAGTGGATTTGAACCTTGGGCCTTTGGGTTGACAATACAGCCCCTTACCCGTGAGATCACTAGAGCGCCCTCCTTAGTGTTATATTCCCTCTACAGTGTACCTTTGCTATTATCATTAACAAGTTTTTGTTATTCATTGTCCAACTTGCAGATGGATATACAACAATTGAAAATACCATGGCTTGGTAGCTTAGTGGTTAAGGAGTTGCTCTGCCAGCACAGAGGCAAGCAGCTCCCATCCACCAGCCACTCTATGGGCAAAAAATGGGCAGTATCCTTTTGTGCAATTTATAGCCTCAGAAAACCCTCTATGCATCAGTTCTGACTCTGCAGAAAAAAATTGCTTAAGTGATTGGATCAGGCAAACCTTAATCTTTACATTGACACTCTTGCTATTTAGCCTTTTAAAGAGGTCTTTGACAGTATTTACAAGCTGGAGAGTTGATGGAGAGTTTAGGTGTGCTATTCTGGTAAAAATGATCCTTCTTTACATATGCGACATGGACTACCAAGGGAATAAATGAATATATCTTGGAAGAAGTGTCACTAGAGTGCTTACATTCTTGGGATATGTTATCAGAGGGACTAGTTTTTAGAAAGGGACATTATGCTTGGAAAAGTCAGAGTCCTCGAAGGAGAGGAAGACTCTCAAGGAGAGCCTTACACTCTGGTTGCAACAGTGGGTTTACAGTATCAGCACAGCGGATAGTGAGGATGGTGCAGGATTGGGCAGGATTTCAATTCTGTACATAGAGCACCAAACACCAATAGCAAGAAGCTTTCTATTAACTTTGCTAAAGAAACCATACTCTGTATTACATTCAAAGCAAAAATCTCTTCTAGCTCTACTCAGAGAGTTAGCCTTGTTGAACAAAAATTTGAAGTATCGAATTTTTTACTTGTTAATATTATAATTTCTCATTGGGGGGGGGGGAACCTGAACAACCTTGAAGTTTCACAAGACAATGCTTGACATTAAAAAACAATTAGGTAGTAAATACTTTTGTAAATTTTGAGAAAAATGGTTTGAAAGTTTTATCTTTGCCCCTGTTCATCTGTTTCTTTTTTTTATTTGGAAAAACATATTGGGGGTACAAGGAGGTGAGGGTTGGGAGCAGAAGGGTGAGGATGGGCCAGGATGCAGGTGCAGAGCTGCACAGTTTGGTCGGTGGGGGGAGCAGGTGAAGGAAATGATGAGGGTCCAGAGGGGACCAGATGCTACAAAGGAATGACAAGCATTTTCCAATAGTAATTAAACCAACTGTCTTATTGATTTGGGAATTGGATGCTGACTCTCTGGCTTCTTCATACTGAACAGGGGTGTAGATGTAAAGGGGGGAAGGGAGGACACTTTATCACCTTATTGGTGGTCTTGGGTTAAAGCTGCTTGCCTTCTTGCTCTGTTAGAAGATATTTTCCTGTCATTTACTCCCCTCTGGACTGCAAAGTGTTTTCCCAGTTGGGTCCAGTGGGCATGGCTGGTTGAATCCAGAGACTCCATCCTCCTTTGCTTCCTTAGCTGTCAGTTGTATTTCCTTTTTGTCACTGGCACTGAGTTCAAGGTCAATTCTGGAGTAAAACTCAGAGTTAAGGTTACCTATAGGAAAGGGGGCAAACCTAGAGAGAACAAACTTGTGAGTTATAAATAGAAGGGCGTTGAGGGTGTTGCTTTCAGGTTTACTGCGGGGGGTGGGGGGGAGGGTGGCAGAAGGTGACCTAGGTAATATTGGATACCCTAGGCATTCTTTTTTTTTTTTCCTCCTTCCCCACCCAGGGGTCAGATGGCACAATCTGGGGACTGAGGAGCTCACCCTGAGGGCTGCAACGGCTCACCCTGAGCCGAGGGCCTAGGGCAGCCCGCCCGGGCAGAGGGCCGTGACGACTCACCCCGAGTACTTGATGTTTTTCAATAGTTTAATAGTATATATTGGATTGATATGCCACATTTTGTTTATATATAAATTGCTGAACATTTGGTTTATTTTCACTTTATGGATCTTATGTAGAATACTGTTAAGTACATTTATATACAAATTTTTGTGTGGGCATGTTTTCAGTTATCTTTAGTATATACCTAAGAATAGAATTCCTGGGCCATATGCTAACACTTTTAATTCCTTGAGGAACAGCAAAAGTACTTTCCAAGGTGGTTGCACTAGTTTATATTTTCATCAACAGATGTATGAGAATCAAAATTTTTCCACATCTACATCCTTCACAGCACTTGCTATTATCTGTCTTTTTTTTTTTTTTAAATATTATCAGGTTCTGTCTTTTCACAGCCTAGTAGGTATAAAGTAGTATCTCATTGTGGTATTGATTTGTATGTTTTTATGGCTAATGAATCTGTTTTGGGAGAAGTGCAGCCATAGTGCTCTCCTCAGACGTGAGGATGGTGAGACTTTATCACATATACTGTGGGCATGTTTTCAGAAGGGGCTAGTTCCTGGTTCCTGGAAAGGTGGAGGATCAGTGAAAGAGAGGA